ATATATATATATCCCTGTACTGCCAAATGCCTAAGCCTATTATCTGAGTGACTACCCAGAAGACAGATCCATGGGCATCCATCCTGGTTTCTTTTGTGTGGCCAGTCTTGATACAAATCGTGTGTCTGTGTGCTGCTGGCCTATCCTTGACCTGTGTTGCTCTGCCAATCTGTGTAGACCTAGCAATGAACTTGAATCTGTATGTTGGTCATCATTTCTTTGTGTGTCAATCAGCTGACTTGTCATTCTTTGTGTGAGAGCGCATTTGTGTGCTGTGTTGGAACCCAGGGGCCAAGATGTTCAGATTCCTCTCAAGGAGATAGGAGCTATATAGGGGAATCTGGAGGGTGAAGACTCATTTCCAGCTAGGTTGATCATCCTGTTTGTCTCTTGGGTCACCTGGCCGGTTCCCCATCCTCTGCCTTACTCCATTCTTTTCTCTCTAGGCCTGCTCAGGATTGGAAATGGTAGGGACAGAGATGAAGAGTATCACATTCCAACTCCCGCAGACACTTGGACCCAAGCACAGGGTTTTTCTTGTATATGCATTCACTCTGTGACCCTACATACACACAATGAGAAATGGTAATTAAGTATAGTGTAGTAATAATCACATATTGAGCATTTAGTACATGCTAAGCATTTTATATACAAGATCTGATCGAATTGTCAATAATTCTGATGCTACAAATATTGTTTTCATATGTGATGAGAAAATGAGGGTAAGAGAAGTAAGTAGTTGAACATCACAGAGCTAGAACGTGACGGGCAGGATTTTCCCATAAGGGAAAATTTTTCCATAAGGGGTGGGCTGCCACAGCCACCCTCAGCCTGGGAAGAGGTACGCAGACAGCAGGAAAGATGAGGAAGAGAGGAGCTCCTTTCACAACTGCTGGCAGATAACTACAGCCAGAGGGACTGAAATCTAATTTTGATTTCCATCTCCTTGAGTAGTGAAGTGGCCCAATACCAAACAACAATCAAAAATGGAAGATGGATAGACAAGGAGGTTGTCAGGTTGACAAGAGTATCAGGATTTTAGGTGACCTTGAGCAGGACACTTCATTCAGTGGACTTGGATTTGCTTATCATACACTTGGGAGTCAAGTGAGGCTCTGTAGAGATGTTTTAAAGCATAGAAAAAAGAATAATTGGCCTGAGTGTTCTTTGAGATCCCCTCCTGGACCAAGATATGGGGTGGGAGCATAGGCAGAGACCATGCTTTCATGTGTTGGTAATTCCCACAGCAGTCAGAATAGAGTCTCATGAATAGGGAGGGTGATGAAAAGGTTCATTGAATGAATGAATAAATGATCCCATTTCTCATTGACAAAGAACCTCACAGCCCTTCTTGGATCCTAGAGTAATGAACGTCATATAAGAAATGGAAAAAAAGTGTAGTAAGCATTTTGGACTCATCTGTCCAAGAAGGCATTGATGACCAGCTTAACGTCTGAGTGTCAGTGGCATGGAGGGAGGCACTAGAAAACACTACAAAGACCTCTTTGCCCAGATTGTGTGGTATGGGACAAAAGAATTCCACCAGGAATAGAGGGGGGCAGAGGGGTAGGAAGTGGAGGTCTTTGTCTAGAGGAATATGTAAGGGGCAAAGGCTCTTCCGAATCTGGGGATTCAGGGTGGGGTTATACAGACAAATCTCTGGGATGGGGAATCCCTTCTGTTTCGAATCCTTTGGGAAAAGATCTCAGTATTTAAAGAGGAAGAATTTCTGCTCTGTCTTTACTGGAGTCTTATCATGAAATGGAGGATCTATCTTTGAGGAAGGACTCTATTAAGAGGGGTTTTTTTTTATTACAGTGGCTGGAGATTCGGGGAATTTTTTCAAGGAAGGTGATGGTTTCTGTCTTAGTTTTTGCCAGGCAAAAGGTGGAGGATTTGCTGAGGTCGTAGGGAAATGAAGGGGGTTCTTAGAGAGGGATGAGGAGCATCTGTGTAGAGTGCCGCCAAGGTTTCCTATCTGGAGAGAAGCCTCTTCAGGAAGACCGTGAGGCCCTTGTAATGGGGGTGGGGACAGCTGTTTTGTCTTAGCAGAGCCAACTCGAAGGTCACAGCCCGCAGGCTGCCCTACTTGTGCATTAGCGTGAGCTGATCTAGAAATTCTGCAGGGGAAGAGACTGGGGTTCCCAGGGAGCAGGGACCTCCAGAGAGGCAAGCCTGGGGATCTTTCCCTTTTCCTGTTCCTTCAGCTACTCCCTCCTACCCTCAGTCACAGCCCGGGACTGCCAGATTGAACCCTGTGGTTTACCGTTTAGGAATTCAAAACTGGAGCCCAGCTGGGGTCACACACAGGGACCCCCATGGAGCAGACGACCCGCACAGAGACAGCTACAAAGGGACTCACCCAGGCACAAACGCGGGCAACCCCACTCGATACACGTAGACACGCAGTTCCGCACACCAGCCTCGAACGCACAGACTCCAATGTGCACAAAGCCTCACGCACCAACTGCACCCAGTTACCGAATCTCTTTCTCGAATTTCACATAGATCCAGCCCACGGCAGTAACTGATGCCTTGTCTGTCTTTGTGTCTGGATCTCTGTCCTATCCATGCTTGTAACACACACATCCCACTCAACAGAAACCGTCCAGGCCCTGCAGCCCGGGCAGCACCGACCTGAGCAGCGACGGAGCTCAATGCGCAGCTCCGCTCCTAGGTCCCGCAAGCCGCTAACCCTTCTTTCCTCCGCGCCGGACACCCGCAGAGCCCCTCTCAGCGCAGGCATTCACAGACAAGCCAAGAGTCCACAGAGAGGTGTCGTCAAAGTCCTGCTTCCTTCCAGCCCACCCTCCCTAAGCGAAAAGCCAACCTTTCGCCTCCATTCAGCACACTTTTGGAGAGCGGTTGGTGGCGAGCGACCTGCCAATCGCTTCCACGGCGGCGACCCCGGACAGCAGAAACAGTCCAGGTGATCCGAGGTGATCGGGCTCGGAGCGGAGCATCCTTGAGAGCGATCCGTGTCCACCATTTCTGCCTTCAACGGGCACTTGGGCCAGGTTTAAGAGCGAGCAATGAGTGCCAGTGAGACAAACCGACGCCCAGACGGTCCGCTCCCGGCTCCGTCAAAGACGGGCAATTCCGTCCCGCTGGCTTTCTGGCCTCCCGGATCAGTCCGTAGCCCGAGGATCCCGGGTTGTGCAGCTACCGGACTCTGGAGGGTTGGTCCAGGGGCGGGAGACGGCGAGAATCAGCCCACCCCCAACCCCTCCCTCCCCTCGGCGGCGGAGCTGGAAGGGCCTGGGCCGGGCTTAGCACCTCCTCCAGAAATGCAGCACTCGGCCCCCCTGCGCTCCGCGCTTCCTGTCTCGCGCTTCCTCCAGCCTTCTTCCCAAGGGCACCCTTCTCCAGCCCCCACCTCACTTTCGAATTCTTTCGCGTCACCTTTCTCTCCTAGCCCCCTCCTCACGCCTGTAGCCTG